TAAAAGGCTAATATTTTGTCAAAATAACTGAGAAGCCAAAATATTAAGATGATACAAGTAGAAAGGGATTCTCTGACACATACAGGCTAGCTTAACAAAGATTTCAGAGGTAAGGCTGTGCCATAAATTCCACCAAGACTAGGAATACTGTATTTATTACATATCTATGATGAAAAAAAGTCCCCTTCACAGCATGATTCAAGTAACTAGTGTTTGTTGAGGGCATGTAGTGCAGCTTGCACTACAATGGGCATATTGAGAGTTATTAAAATGAACCAATATTCATTCCAGTCACTTTATGCCAGGTGTTGTGCTATGCTCTGAGGATTCAGAGGCAATGAGAAATTGTTCTTTCTATTGCAGCTTACAATTTAGTGGGGGCAAATAAGACTTACAGGAGGTGGTAACATACAGAAATCTAGGGAGGTGGGTATTTGTATTTTAGATAAAGGCCCCACCTTGAACAGAGGCAGTAAGATAAACAGTATGCTGTGAACAGAAACATACATGCAGTAAGGGAAACAGTATAGGAAATGGCAGATGATGCTGATAGATAGGTTGGGTCCAGTTCTATATGCCATGTAATAGAGCTTAGACTCTATTCTGTAAGAGGTAACCACAGAATAATCTTAAGCAGGAAATTTAAGATTAGTTAGATCTATACTTTTGATATCTTAATCTAGCAGCAGGCTTGGAGATAGATGTCAGAGTGACAAAGATGAAGGCAAGAAAACTAGATAGGGTGATAAAAGGGGCCTGAATCAGGAAAGTGGTGGTAAGGAAGAAAAGATGCAATTTTTAGGTTATATATTATTATTAACTGCTGGTTGCTTAGTTGTGAGAAGTATGAATGGGAAGGAGAAACAAGGATGGGTAATGGGAAAGATAGAGGTGCATCTAAATGAAATGGAGAATATAAAAATAGAAGGCATTTTTGAGAGTTTGGGGGTATAGAAAAATGAGTTCTGTTTGAATATATTAAATTAAAGATGGCAGTGTACTATTAAGCAAAAAATAGCCTAGGTAAGAACCTCAACAGAGTCTAGTACAGAGGTACATATCTGAGAGATATCTGATTGATAATTGAAACCAGGAGAAGTAAGATGAAAGAGTAGAAATAAGAATAGAGAGCTTAGCACAAAACTCTGGTGATCATTGGTATATAATAGGCAAGAGAGGAAGAGGAGCCAGTAAATGAGATGGTAAAGGAATGGCCTGAAAAATACGAAGAAAATCTGGAGAGAGAAGTGGTCAAGGAGTTTCCAGTTTTGTTTGGCTGGCAAAAGTGTTTTCTTCTAAGTCAGAATTTGAAAACCTTTAAGAAAAACATATACTTTCCAGTTCACCTAGGCCTATCACTACCTATGCTATACCATCTTCTGTGACCTGCCTTGTTTCTGAAGGCCTTTGTGTTTGTGATCCTTGAGTAGAAGACTCTAAGAAAGAGGGAGTCATCATAAGTGTCAAATGTAGCAGGGAGGAGAGGAAGACAGAGAATGGAAGATGTCCACTGATTTAGCAACAAGAGGGTCATGGTGATTTTTGTTTGGTTTTTTTTGAGACACTGTTTCACTATGTAGCCCAGGATAGACTTGAACTCAACAACTTTTTTTTTCTGGTACTAGAGATCAAACCCAGGGCCTTGAGAACACTATGGAAAGGCTCTACCACTGAATTACACCTTCAGCCAACTGATCATGGTGATTTTAACTGAGGTAAGATCCTCTGTGGTTGAGGTACCAGAATTCAGATCAGAGAAAACAAATATGGTGAAGGTATCTACTCTTAAGAAATTTGGAGGGCTGGAGGAATGGCTCAAGTGATAGAGTGCCTGTTTCACAAGCACAAAATCCTGAGTTCTAATCCCAGTACCACAAAAGAAAGAAAGAAATGTGGAGGAGAAAAAAGAGAAAAAAATCAGAGGAACTGAATATGACTACAGGATAAACTAACAGAGAGTCCTAGAGAGGTAACATTGGAGTCAGGGGTTGCCAATGGAGCAAGATCTAGGAGGCAGCTGGAAGAGAAGTGTATGGAGGGCAGAAGAGAAGGGATGAGTTTTGGGTAAGTGGAGGGTCTTCTTGAATTTGAAGTTGTAGGAACTCAGATCTAATTAAGATCCAGTGCAGGTTTGCAGCAAGAAAGTGAAATGATTAGACTGTGTTTTATGAAAATTAGTTTGGCATAAGCATGCAGGATGGATTGGAGTGGGGAGAGGCATCAGACTATGGCAATAATTCAAGCAGGGGATGATGGCAACCCAAAGTAGAGTAGTGCCAAATAGGAACGGAGAAAATGAAAAATCTAAGAGACATTTTAAAGCTATGATGACATAATTCTGGGAAAGAGTGGCAAAGGGCAATTCAAGGAGAAGGAAGAGCCAAAATGACTCAAAGATTTTAAATAACATCCTGGGAGATTAGAATGGTGGTATTGGGGTCAGAAACAGGGCAACTGGAAATGTGGTCAATGTAGGGAAGAAAAAAATGTTGGGTTTAAGCTATACATAATTTGAATCAGGTTTATCATACCTATCTTCTTAAACATTTATCACTTTTTCATGATGAAAAACTCCAAAATACTTTGAACTTTTTGAAGTAGACAGTTGAAGGTGATAGCTCTCAAATTTTAAACTTTGAAAGGAAGCAAAGTCTTCTATAGAATGAAGACTGTGCAGAGAAGGGAAAAAGTTCAGGGTGAGAGAGAATAAAAAATATATCATTCAGACAGGGAGGGCATAAGGCTGGGAAGATGGCTCAGTGGTAGAGCACCTGCATAGCAAGCAAAAAGCCCTGGATTTGATCCCCAGCATTACAAAAACCAAAACAGGGCATATAGTTTAAGGTATCTTGGATATTCCTATGCAAGAAAAAACAGAGTCTGATATTTTAGATATATCAGAATAACTATTTTCTTCTCTCTCCCTCTCTGCAAACTGGAGTTTAAACTCAGGGCCTTGCATTTGCTAGGCAGCACTCTACTACTTGAGCCATACTTCAGTCCAAGATTAACTATTTTCTAAGAGTTTTACTTCACTTGATACAAGGAAGGCTTTATTACTATAGCCTGTTTCTCAGATCCAGAAAAAATTTCTCCTAAACATTTGGTTCTTTTTCAAATCCCATTTTACATCAAATGTGCTTTCTAGGCGAGAGCATGTGTACAATAAAAATAAATACACTACCAAACTTTATACCATTGTTTAGTGATGCACACCTCATTCACACTCCTAACTCCTGTATTTTTAAACCAGGAGGGACATTACATCTATTACATGGGCCTTGGCATGGCCAAGTGTCAGTGCTCTGCTTTCAATGAAGCGAATAGGTTGGTAAGCACTTCACCATGGTTGTGTGAAGAGTAGGAATGGATCCATGAATAAGTTTTATGGAGCTTAGCAAGTTTCCTTATTCTTTGCTCATTGTCTGAATTTTAAAAAATAATGGGGGAGGGATGTTGAAGTATAAAAGTATGGACTGGAATAAGATAACTTTTCTCTCTTTTAGTCATGTAAAATAATCTGCATGAAAGGAATTCTTGGTGCCAGAATTATAATTAGTCTGAGTAATAAACTGTCGGCCTTGTGAGGAAAGGAATGGAAGTAAAACAGCGCAGTAAGCTGGCATCTGAACACTGTAGGCTATCTGCAAAACTGTTGGACCAAGGAAAATTGCCTTAAAAATGCCTAATCAAAAAGCAGGTCTAAAAACCTCCCTAAACTCTTCCAAAATTTCAGAATCTTTGTTAATACATTTTCATGCAAAGATTACAAAAGTGTATTATAGTCAAAATACTCAACATGTTAAAAAATTAAAAGCTAATATGATGGAGGAGCTAGTACACATTATGTGATTTCATATAATATGAAATCGGTTGAGTCAAAGGGGTTAGTTAGGTAAGACTTAACAAAATTAGAGACAGCATATGATAGGAAAGAATAGGCCTCCTTTGAAACTGCAGAAAAAACATAGTTAAAAGAATGAACATAACACAATATTCAAATTTCCAAGTATTTACAATCCAGGCAAATAAAAATGAGGAAGCACTCTTCAAAGCCCAGAAAACCATCAATTTTTTTTCTTTTTTTGCTTTGCAACCAATGTTATGAAGTCCTTCCCCATTTTATTTTCTCAAAATGATCCAAGATTTTAATTTTCAAAAAAGTCACCATAGATGAGTTTTCAAGAAACCATTCTCAGCTCCTGGAGGACTAATTTCCATATATATATTTAATGTTTGTATATTTAGTATTTGGGTATACAAAATCCCCTGTAGGTATCTTAAATTATCTGAGCTGATACCAGGTACTCTACACCCTTCATTTTACAGGTACAGAAATCAAGGCCCAGAAATAAGATGCAACCAACCAAGGTCACAGAGCCAGTAAGACGCAAACCTGGGACTAGCAACCAAGACCCCTGACTCTCAATCCATTGCAATAGCTGCTTGATTATCTAATGATACATTTAAGGAACGTCAGAGTGAGTAGTGCTCTAAACAAGGAAAGGATGGTATTCATTCATTTAAGGATTAGATAGGAAGAATGGATGGATGAATATGTGGGTGGACGGATATTTATAACATTATTCACAAAACATATCACATTTCTGTTTTGAAGCATCCAAGCCTACTTCTTTTTCACATATCACAGCACTCGCTGTTTTCCACTAAACACCAATCTTGGCCTCTAGTACATCCTGCAGGTTAGAAGACTATTCACTTGGCAGCACACATACATATTCCAGTGCCTCTGGTCTCAAGCCCCTAACTACCATGTCCTATACTCATTTTTTACTTGGTTTTGGTGCATCGCACATTCTCCTCACTTCCTTTACACCTATTTGCCCTCAGTTTCTCCATTTACACCAGTTGTCCTTTCCTAAGTGTACGCCTCAGTTAGCTCCCTCCCCCCACCCAATCCACAGGCCCTTCGATCACCTTCTCATTTCTCTGTCGCCAAATCTCGGCCTTTTCAAACCCCATGGCCCCCTCTCACTTACACAGTGATGTGGCCGGCGCCCCGCACCAATACAGGGTCGGGGGCATATCTCCGCAGATGCTCCTCGCTCACTACTCGAGGCGGGGGCGGCGCTTCCTCCTCCTCCTCCTCCTCATCTTCCTCCTCCTCCTCCTCTTCCTCCTCCTCATCTTCCTCGTCATCGTCAGGCCCAGATACCGACGACGACGACGGCGACGACGACGACGTTGCCGCTTCTTCTTCCTCCTCCTCCAGTTCTGAGATGGTGTCGAACTCCGCCATGTTGGGCAGCAGGATGCTCATCACGTGACCTCGCGATCACAGCCACTCTCACAGAGACGAGTTTGAACCTGCGGAGCTGCTGGAAGAGGAGGGGGAACCAAATGAAGAGAAAGAGGAGGGGGGCAGGGATAGGACTTGAGGAGACGCGCCTGCGTATTGGGCAGACGAGGGGGGTTGTTGGAGGCGGGGGCATGAGGGACCAAGGAGTAAATTCAGTGTACGCTTGCGCGGCTCCAAGGGGAGGGGGGCGTTAGAGGTGAACTCCAGGGAATTATCGAGGTCCGGTTTGCGGGTGCTGAAGTTAACGCGGCGCTTTGGGCGTGAGCTGCTTCTGTACCTTCTGATTTTATTTCCTATTAAGTAATGCTGGGTTTTATTCCCTCCAGTGCAGGCGGTCAAAGGAAAGCATATTCTATAAAAGTGTACTTAGAACTTTACCCAAAATACCTCAGTGTTCGCAGATGCCAATCCCTATGTTTGTTCAGTATTACAGTTGAAGAGACTTTTGCTTTAGATTTTTGTCATAACGGTGGGAGACTGCATGAGCATTTTTATTAGCATTTTATTAAGGAGGAAACTTTCTTTTACCACTTCTATGCAGTAATTATGGCGGGACTGTGCTAAGTGCTCTATGTGCATCTCTCATCTACTCCTACCCAACCCTCTCACGTGTGTACTGTGATAATCTCATTAGAGATGGGAAATCTAAATGCAGAGAGACTAAGTAACTTGTCCAAGGTCACAGACGTACTGAATGGCAGATGTGGTTTTAAATTTGAAAGTCTCTTCTCCAAAGATCTATGCTGACTGAAGTTGTTTGGAAAGGTATTGGAGAGTGGTGCCTTTTGAGCTGCTTCTCAAAAATATGAATAAGAAGAGGTAGGTTTGAATTTTGAGTTTTGTGTGTGTGTGTGTGTGTGTGAAGATGGAGGAACTATACAGAGCATTCCAATTTACGGTAACATTAACATCACCCAGTTCCAGACACTGGGCTATCCTCTTTCACATACAGTATCTCAGTTAACCCAAACAATCTTGTGAGGTAAGCATAATTTTATTTTTGTTATAGATGACAAAACTAAATCTCAGGGAGTTTAAGTGATTTGTTCAAGTCTATACTGACATTTTGTCCAATTTTTTCCATCTTAAATGTTCTATCTTCTTCACACCACTAAAATAATAGAGATCACATATTTTGACTTTTGAAAGAAAGTAAGAAACTGGTTCATACTTGGCAGTAGCACAAAATCTATGTCATTAAGACAGTAAGGTCACACAGCTGTTAAGTAACAGAACAGATGCTGTAATCCAGGTATTCTAATACCAGCATCACGCTCTTTCTGGTACATGGTACAGCTGCATTTCAATTAGATGGTGAGAATGAGAAAAGAGACATAAACACACTTGAATTTAAATTTAGCATTGTATTAGCAATACAGCAATATAAACACTGTAAACAATGAGTGTACAAGAGAGGAAGTAATTAGTTTTATAAGAGGGATGAAGCAAATCATTGTTATTATTAAGAAACTTATGTTACTAATGTGAAAATTTTTCCATCATATTCAATAGCTTGACTATTTAGGAGCTTTAAAAATAATTTGTAACACTATTGATAAGCAACAAAAGCTAGCTTTTTGTAGTGTAAGAACTTTATATACTAGCCAGAAATTATAATAAAAGAATCTTAAAATATTTCTCTTTTTTTAGTGGTACTAAGGTTTGAACTCAGGGCTTTGCACTACACCATTTGAGCCATGCCCCCAACCTTTAAAATATTTCATCATAACCTTCTAGCAAGACATATACATATCTTTGATTTTTTTGAATGTTAATAAATGTGCATATTAACTATGGAAGTAAACTACTTTAGACTTAAGATCTAACTCAGTACTCTGCATCAGTTCTTCCCTTTCAAGAAGAAAAAAACTAAAACATTTTCTGAACATTTTGTATTATCTGTAAAGGCCCACTAAGTGATTGTTTACAGAGAAAAATAATTTGCTGATTACTTCTTTAATGGCATTTTCTGATTTTACCACTCAAGATTAGGCCATTAGGGATATTTGAAGGAGAGAAAGGGAAAGGGTAAGGGGATGGATTTTGTGACAAGTGCAAATAAAATACGGGAACTCTCATAAAAGTAAAGAAATTGTGACTATGGAGGATAGTAAGGAAGGAGAAAAGAAGAGGAAGAGGGAAGTTCCACTGTCAAAATGGAAAGAGATCCCTGACGTTTAGTTAGATGCCAAAAGGGCAAAATGTACAAGTAAATCAGCTCATCTGTTTTCTTGCATATTCATTGTATTGAAGAGACACTTGTGATTCCAAAGGTAATTTGTTTTACCAAACTATAGGAGAATTTGGAATTGGGCAAGGTGAGGAAAAACACATTTTATTTATCCATTGACAGCAAACACAAGAAATACCACGGTTTGTTTCTAAATGATATTTTAGCATTGAAAATAGGAAACCGAGGAATGGATAGAGAGGAAAGCAGGACATACAGCTTTCTAGCTGATGTGCTAAGGAAGGCATAGGTATAATTCTTCCATCTACTTGATGGGGACCTGAGGCACAGTCACAGTTTAATGATCTGAGAAGTTGTCAGTCTTTTTTTTTTTTCATTTTTCTTTTATTATTCATATGTGCATACAAGGATTGGTTCATTTCTCCCCACTGCCCCCACCCCTCCCTTACCACCCACTCCGCCCCCTCCCTCTCCCCCCCCAATACCCAGCAGAAACTATTTTGCCCTTATTTCTAATCTTGTTGTAGAGAGAGTATAAGCAATAATAGGAAGGAACAAGAGTTTTTGCTGGTTGAGATAAGGATAGCTATACAGGGCATTGACTCACATTGATTTCCTGTGCGTGGGTGTTACCTTCTAGGTTAATTCTTTTTGATCTAACCTTTTCTCTAGTACCTGTTCCCCTTTTCCTATTGGCCTCAGTTGCTTTGAGGTATCTGCTTTAGTGAGAAGTTGTCAGTTTTGAGATAGCTGAAAAAAATTGTAACTTTTAAAAGATAATTTTGTATTATTTATTTATTAAACCATATTATTCACTGATTTTAGTAAATTTACAAAGTTGTCAACAATCACCACAAACTAATTTTAGAACATTTCCATTGCCTCAGAAGAATACTTTGTCCCATTTTCAATCACTCCCCACTCTCATCCTCAGCACTGGGTACCATTAGTCTGCTTTTGGTCTCTGTATTTCTTTAATGGACATTTCAAATAAATTGGATCATAAAATATGTGGCCTTTGATGTCTGTCATCTTTTGCTTAGCATGTTTTTGATGTTAGTTCATGTTATACTGTGTGTTAATATTTCATTCCTTTTGATTGATAAGTAGTATTCCATTGTTGCAGTATATCACATTTTGTTCATCCACTCACCTGTCTGTTTATGACATTTGGATTGCTCTCACCTTTTGTATATTTGTGAAAATGCTGCTATGAGCTTTCACATACATGTCTTTGTATAAAAATATGCTTCAATTTCTCTTGAGTAGATATCTATGATTGGTCATATGGTTAAGACTATGTTGAATTTAAGAAGCTGCAAAACTGGTTTTCTGAAGTAGGTCCATTAGTTGACATTCGCATGAGCAATGTTAAGAGGGTTCCATTTTCTCCACATCCTCTCCAATTCTTGTTCATGTCTGTCTTCTTTATTATAGCTGTTCTCTCTGTCTTTTAATCAATGTATGTGGAACAATTTAACCACCAAATACAATTTATAAATATGAAGAGGAGAAGAAAGTCTATTATACTCATGCATAGTTTGCTTACTCTTTGTTACTGATATTTCTAGATCTTAGATTTTTTTTGTTTTCCGTTTAGAGAACTTCGTGTAGTTCTTCTTCTCTTTCTTCTTCTCCTTCCTCCTCCTCCTCCTCCTTCTTCTTCTTCTGCCTCCTCCTCCTCCTTCTCCTTTTTCCTCCTTACCACTTGAGTCACTCTGCCAGCCCTTTCTTTGTGATTTTTTTTTGAGATAGGGTCACACAAAGTATTTGCCGAGGGCTGACTTCCAACCTCAATCCTCCTGATCTCTGTCTCCTGAGTAGCTAGAATTACAGGCATGTAATTACACTCAGTCACTATGATTATGTGAATTTTATAATTCCATGGTTTTTCAGCATATTGCCATTCTTTTCAGTATATTTTTCTCTTTGTTCAGATTTGGTTATTTGCATCATTCTATTTTTCTGTTCACTGATTTCTTCCTCAGTCTCCTCCATTCTATTGTAGAGCCCATTTACTGAATTTTTAAATTTTGGGTCTTGCATTTTATCAGTGCTAAACTTTACAATTGATACTTTTTCATATTCTCTTTTTTCCTTTTTGAAACTTTCTATTTTGCCATTTGTTTTAAGTGTGTTCCTGGTTGTTCATTGAAGCATTTTTATGATGGCTGTTTTAAAATTTTTGTCACATAAGTCTAACATTTTTGTTATCTGATTGTTGGCATATATTGATTGTCTTTTATCATTCAGTTTGAGGTATTTCTGTGTTTGGTATGATGAGTCATTTTCAATTAAAATTTAGACATTCTCATATTAGATCATTAGATTATAGATGTTAGTTAAACCTTTTTTTTGAACTTTTCTGCTGACATTGCTTCCTTAAGGGAGTTGTAGATAAAGTCAAGGCCTTATTGGCACCCAATAGGGTCTCTTATTACTGTTGAATAAAGAAAGAGTTTTGGCGTCTCATGTCATTTTCTCTGATCCTATAGATAAAAAGGCCTTTTTACTGATGAGTGAAGATGAAAAGTCTTGATTGTCCTTTTACATAATTTCTTTACAATTTCAGGAGTATGGGACTATAAGCTCCAAACTTGGCTTTTCTGGTGTAGTTGGGGGTGTAGCTTCAGGTTTTTTGGTTTTTTTTTTTTCTTAGTGCTTGTCCTTAGTATATAGGTTATTGTCTAAAAGTCTCCTATTTAGCCAGGCTGCCCCTTTTCTGTTCCTCAGCTAGAAAGAACAGGCTTTTGGGGTAACTTTTTCTATCTGTACTAGTTAGTGTTTCTGCTATTCTGGCTTCTTCATCTCCAAGTCTGGGATATATGAGGCAAAAAAAAAAAATCCCAGAGAACTCACCACCATATTATTCCTTAGGTCCCAATGTCCCCAGCTCATCTTTTTTTCT